TAGTTACAGATATTCATTGTGATATATGCATATGCTCATTTTTAATTAAACACTACGCAGAAAAAAGAGAAACATGTCTTTTTTTTGTTTTATATGTTTTAAATTATTGATTTTCTTAGACACATTCTGCTTCACTTTCCATTTCGATTCATGGAAAGTCAAATTTTCATATGCCAGTTTTATGTTTTTTTCGAGTAATTATTATTAATTTTTTTTCATCTATAGTTACTTTTCAATCAACTCAACTGATCATCTTGCATTTACCCCAACTGAAGAGTCTCTATGTGAAAGGAACATGTGAAATATTTCATCTAGTTCAAGCTGCTCCTAATCTTGAGCATTTAAAAATCGAGTTCAAGTGTTTAAATATTTTACTTGACGACACATCTACCTGTGAATTATTGCAAAAACGAATTGTAGACCTTGAAATTACACATTTTCAAGAAGTTGACTCTATTAAATTAGACGTCATTGCACAAAAGTTTAATCATCTTCGTGATCTTAGTCTATCCTTAGAAAGTTCAACAGTTTTCATTGATTCACTTATTCTATAAGTACTTTCATTATGGAAAGATAAAAACCTTCGTGGTCTTTATATTAGAGGTTTGTTAACAGATGATATACTTGAAAATCTTCGTCAGTGGCTTATCAATCATAGTCATTTACGTCAAGAAGATTCATTCATTATTAAATACAGAACGAATTGGATTGCACTATGGCTTCAATAAACTTTCTGTATCACAACAATAAATTTATTCCGCATCACATTGACGAAAGTTTTTTTTTTCTTTCATTTCTTCAGACATGTTCATTTTTTCTCTATATTTTGTAATTATTCATATTTTTTGCATAAAAATTTTTCTTTCGCAAAAGACTCATCCTTAATTTATTAGCACATTTTTGTTCTTACATAATATCTATTAAATTGGAGAAGAATTTTTAAAAATATCAAAGAAAAATGAACAAAGTGAATGAATATGAAAAAAAAAACTTTTCAACCTACTTCAATCTAATAGAACAAGTATAGAAATTTATTTAATCTTATCATTTTGAGTGAGAGTCGTAGACATACATTTGCTCAACACAATATTGAGTTAACGAAAAAGCGAAGTACAATCAAGCAGAGATGATATTGAACGATTTTGAAGTAAGAAAAATATTACGAATTCAATTTCTAACAAAGAAATTGATCGATTTATTAGAGGGTGTGGGTGAAAATAATATCTATACCGACTTTCTACACCCTTTGTTCACATTGAATCAACAACTATTGATTTCACTTAAAAATACATCATATAATAATATTGGAATGTAAGATGCAACTATCATGATATCATATTAAAGCCATTGAAATGTACTTCAAGTGACCAACCATTAATCGATTCATTTTGATGCGGTTTGATACTTCAGCTTGGTTATGATTCAGTGAAAGACAATAAAAATATTGTCCCCCCTAGGAATCGATTGGAAAAGTTTGATTCAAAACAGTTTCCGATAATCAGATGTGCTAAAAATACATCTGTGAATAGAATATAATTATCTTTCTTCATTCAACTATTTTCAATACTTTTTTTTACTTGAAATAGAAAATCAACGTAGTAAAATAAAAAAAACCATCCTTCTTCAAGTTTCGTTGCTTGTACACTCAGACAAGTTTTTTGTCAAATTTCTTTATTGATTCTTCTTGTATTTTCTTCAAATATCTCCCCACTAGGAACAAGTAAATCAGCAACATCTGCATCTGCTGATTCGACACGATCTTCTAACTATTCTATACGAATTAGAAGATGATTCTGTGCTCTTCATTCAAGTTTCTGCTGAAACATATTTCCATTGAAAACTCGATCATACTTACTTCATATTCGTTTTTGTCGATGCTCTCTTAAAATTTGTTCTGTTTGACAATAAACACGGAAAGACTTGCGTAGGCATAAAAGATTTCGATAATTATCAATCAGATCAATCGACAAATCTGACAAAAATATATCCATTTCTAATATATTATTTTGATATTTTTCAATTATAGTCGTATTACATTGTTCATGTGAAAAACAGTAAATGAAAAATATTGGATGCACCAAGCAAAGCTAATAATGTGATATAATTCATATTAGAAATCGCAATAGTTAATCTGAAATTTTGTTTTGTTATTAAGAGAAATCGATTTTCAACTGATGAGTAAATTGAATGAGATTGTCGCTTCTCTATTAATTGTTTCTTTTTCGTCAGAATACAGTTTATGGAATATTGCCGTAAATAAATTCTTGAACTCGTACGACTTTTCATATCAGTACCCTTTCGTGTGGATAAATCAGAGTAATTTATCAGGTTTCAAAATTCTTATTTTTTAAACTTAGTACGATTCTCAAATCTCAGTTGTAGTATTTAATGAAACAGTTCTAGAGGAAAAAAATGAGAAAGTTAGTTTTTGTCTCACTTTTTCATTACGAACTCCAGTTGAAGTATTCCGTTACGATCTCTGGACGTAAGAAAAAAGGCGGATGTTCGGAATGAAATTTGTCCTGAAGATTGTAATGAATTCTGAGAACCGTTTGTTAGTGGTTGAACAGCGAAATTTTGACTAGAGATTAGAATGAGAAAGCCCTGAAATTCGTAATGACAACAACACGAAGGTCATAATAAAAACTTCAGAGTCTTCGAAATGGAAAAGGCAGAATGTTTGCAACTATGTTGAAGTTTACTCACCTTTGAGCGAATATGAAGTGACACGCTTGTCTTACAGTCATTCTTATCTATAAAAACAGAAAACAAAGTCTTTATATCGTTACGCGCTCCAAGTAAATTCTATTACGAATTCTCTATCAATATCATTCCATGATTCTGGTTTTTTTTCCCTGTAAAAAGTACTATTAGACATAAATGATATCCACACTCACACCTACACCCCACACCCATATCGTGTTAGCTACACTGAAAGAAGCCAAGAATCGAAAACTTAATGTAAATTCTAATTTAAAGAAAAAACGATTCCGAAGTATATTCTATGTTAAACAATAGAAAATGTTATATATAACAAAAATAGGGTGTGGGGGTGTGGGTGTGGGGTGGCTGGGTGGGTGTGGGGTGTGGGTGTGGGTGTGGGGTGTGGGTGTGGGTGTGGGTGGGGTGTGTGGGTGTGGGTGTGGGTGTGGGTGTGGGGTGTGGGTGAGTGGATGTGGGTGTGGGTGTTATTCGTTTAGTCACATCCCACACCCATATCCACACCCACACCCCACACCCACACCCACACCCTACCCACACCCACACCCACACCCACACCCACACCCACACCCACACCCACACCCACACCCACACCCACACCCACACCCTCATTCACAAGCGTGGATGTCGTATTATTTACAGCATAATATTCATTTGATTCTGGTTAGTGCAAATGGTAAATGCAAAGCAGTGACCTTCAATGCTATCAAATCACTTATTTTTCATCGTCGAAAATCATATAATTTAACGTTTCACATTTTTACAGACTCGGAAGGCCAGAAAACAATTGGACAATATTTCAATAGTACAGAAAAAGTCTGTATCAAAATTCGACTATATCAAATAGAAAGTATATTTGAGCAAGTTTGTTGTTGATATTTGCAAATACTCTAATGGAGGTCACATGTAAAGAAAGCGACAAATCAGTTTATAAGAGAATTGTAGATGCATGAAAATAGAGAAAAAGAACGTGTGCAAATACTGCATATGAGACAGCTTCTAGAAGGAGAAGAAAGAGAAAAATAGAGAAAAGAAAATGTCTGTTGCGATCGTGGTGTAATAACACGTCTCTTTCATCGCTCCATCATTTTTCCATTTTTCTCTCTTGAATGAAAGACCCATACAGACTTTTTCTCTGAAGAATAACCATGCAAGCATCGAGGAGCAGCACCAAAACAGCCGATGACTGTTCCATCTGTCTGGCCCCCATGAGTGTGGACTCTGCACTGCTCACCACTGCATGCAATCATCGGTTTCACTTTGACTGTCTCACTAAGAAAATACAAGTTTCCTTGAACAACGAGTGTCCGTTGTGTCGCACTCCACTCGACTCGCTCATCAGCGTGCTGCGAGATGACGCTGATCAAGGTCAAGCACTGCAACAACTAACGTATGTGTCTAAGATCCAATCGAGAGCGTCGCATCAATCAATACAACCACAACAACAATATCACTTCGAACAGCAGCAAAGTGTGAGTTATGTAGCTGTAATTTTACGTGAAGACTCATGTAAATATTTTAACGATCCTATGAAATATTTGGCGCACCTAGACGCATTTGCGAAATGTGGTTTGATGCGTTCATAGGAAGTGGTACAACGCGTTTCGAATGACAAACGCATCTAGCTGAGTTTAAAATAATTAAATTAAAAAACAATTATTTTGCCATAGAATCGAACTGTGGTACCATCCTAATCATAACAGATGGTCAGGCTTATCTAAACTCATATCGTAAAACGAGTTTTCTTACCAAAGCTACGTATAATATATAAAGTAAAATGAACGACTTAATATTGAAATATAAAATTATTTTAACAGCAGCGAAAATTTTGTAATTGACAATATCAGCAAAGAAAGACTATCGAAAATGACAGAATTTACTTTTGCAGAAAAACTGCAAAAGTAAATTCTGTATAGACTATCTTTATGATGGAATTCACTGACATTGTGCAATTACATTAGCACTATTACATAGTGACATATATACACAACCATTGAATGTTTTTCGTTCTTCGTATAGTATACATATAGGCTGTTTATAACTAGCGAACTATTGTTTTTACTATACGATGACATCATTATACATTCTTTTCTTTTTATCTTTCATCTATATGATATAGGTCAAAAACAACTTGCAAAAGTGAATTCTGTCATTTTCGATAGTCTTTCTTTGCTGACACTGTCAATTACAAAAACTCTTCGCTGCTGTTAAAATAAAAAGTTTTATATTTCACTATTAGGTCGTTCATTTACTTATATATATTATATTTCAAAATAAATATGGCAGCATGTATGGACGCATTTCGATACCAGGTAAATGATTATTTTCGATCTATCTCGTATAGATGGAAGATAAAAGAAAAAGAAAGTATAATGATGTCATCGTATAGTAAAAACAATAGTTCGCTAGTTATAAACAGCCTATATGTATACTATACGAAGAACGAAAAACATTCAATGGTTGTGTATATATGTCACTATGTAATAGTGCTAATGTAATTGCACAATGTCAGTGAATTCCATCATAAAGATAGTCTATACAGAATTTACTTTTGCAGTTTTTCTGCAAAAGTAAATTCTGTCATTTTCGATAGTCTTTCTTTGCTGACATTGTCAATTACAAAATTTTCGCTGCTGTTAAAATAATTTTATAAAGCTACGTATGTCAGATGTGTGGTCACCAAGGCTAGAACAGAACATGCTATTCAGAACCAAGCCTCTATCACGATAAGCTAGAACAGCTCATATGGATATGTGGGTGTCTATACAACTTTTGCTGTAACAATGAAACACGAAGAAGAACTCTGAAACTCCCGTACCTTAGCAGGGTGTGGAGATTCACGTTCTGTAAACTCAGCTCTCTGGATCTCATGAGTTATAACAAACAATCGGAAGTTATGTGTGAACATCGAAAGTTTTCGAATGAAACAGTCAGATTCTTGAAAGAGACGCCTGCTGTCACCATATGACATTCGTAAGGGTTCTGTTATTACTTTAGCCTTTGTGATAGAAGAAAAGAAGCACATTAGGTCAACAGTCGAAAAACACCAGCCAAATGTATTTTACTGATTGCAAACTATGTAGGATAGATTTAACTGTAGACATTAAACGCGTCTAATTCAGAACGCAAACAAGCGCGTTTGGCGTCTGAGACATTTCTAAATACAACCAATGAGCGACTGTATTTTGTGTTTAACCTGCTTCTGAATGCGTTCAACAATTTGAATGCGTTTAGATGTTCTACTACCGGGTGTTCCATAATGTTTGCAACATTTCTTATTTTGCATATGCATATATTTAATTGTGACTGGTGAACGGAGAAGTGATACGCATATTTGAAGCAAAAGCAAAATTTTTGTATTCGATAGAGATCCTGCTGCCGATCGCATCGCGAGATGGCTAATTGCACACACGCCATTTTTCCATGCGGTGATATGATTAGGATCAAGGGCTTTTAGTCAATGCAGTTTTTCTCTTACAGCGGTTTTCGTCAATCATCCACATTTAACTTGAACAATGTGGCGTTCTTGTCTGTGGTGATACTGCTGTCTTTCTGCCAATCTTTCTTTCCAAAGCTATGCTAGAGCGTAGATTTCAGCGCATTGAAAAACGCCAAATTTAACAAGGTCTAGTGGGAATATCTTCGAGAAAGAAGATAACGAGTTAATATTCTGCAGCGAAGATTTCTCGTCATAATAAAGATCGATGCGATGCATTTATATGTTGTCCGTCATTAGACTCGTCGAGGAAATTATTCCATAGCGATCAAATTCTCCGTTGGAAAATCAATTAGCATCATATACAAAACAATTCAGTCGATATTTTCATTTAATAAATTCAGAGTAAAACAATTCGAAGGATTTTGATGATGAATTCGATGATATTTCTCTAGCAGAGGAGGAAAATGTGAGTGGATCAAAGAATATATTTGACCTGAAATCTGTTTTTGACCAGATCGAGTTTTTTTTTCTTCAAATTTTCAGTAAATATTGATTTTCTTTATAGAATGCTCATGGAATAATGAATGATTCATTGAGAAAAACCAGAACAAATTTGACATCAATCGATGCAGATGAATTTCCGATTACCAAACGAATTTTACCTGGAATAAACAATATCAATAATAATTCGATTCTGGAAAGTGATGATGGAACTGGTAGAACAAGTAATGGGAAGTAGGTTGAACAAGACTTTTCATTATCAGTATCTGTTTTCTGGTTGATCACGTATTCAAAGAAAATGAATCAACATCTATTTTTCGTTTTGTATAACTCTGAAATGCAATCTCATCTTTTTTCCTTCGAAGTAAACAATGACAATAAATCAAGTTCGCTTATTTCCTAATAGAACTGAGTCAGTAAATACAATAAAATTTTCTTGACTTCTTGATAGTCATGGAATCGTTCTAATATGGAGAGATAATTTTCCTATGAAAAAAAAATTGAGATTGGATAACGGCAATTTTCTCCTCGAGAGTATCAAATAGTACATTGAATGAATCGATTTCCTTATTTATTTTAGTAATGTATCCGGTGACCAACAAGCAAACAATCCCTTTTACAATTGTATTGATAGTGCACCGGATATTCCTGAACGAGGAAAAACAGTTCCGTTGGATCTTGATATGGTAATTATCAAGAATATTTATCGATACTATCGACATCTTTTCGATAAATTCTTTAGGGCTTATCACTCAGTAAACGATCTGCTGGTGTTCCAAATGGAATTGAAAGACATAATCTGAATGATGAAGAACTGGTAAATATACACAAACGGTGTTTGTTTGTTTGTTTGTTTTTGATTGAAAAAGCACTTGATTCTAGCGTACACATGTATATAAAAAAACTTTACAAGCATTGATTTATCCCATATCATTGACAACTCCACATGCTTTTGAATTGTGTTCGTTTACTTATCCAGCACATTGTTATGATTGTGAAGGCCTTCTATGGGGTATTGCTAGACAAGGTTTAAAATGTCGAGAATGTGGCGTGAAATGTCATGAAAAATGCAAAGATCTTTTCAATGCTGATTGTCTTCAACGTAAGAAGAAGAACTTTATTTATTGTTGTCTGATTTATATTTTGTCTCTCAAATCTAATATGTTATTGTATCTGTCATCTTATTTTGGTTGCATGCCATTGTTGTTTCAATGTCATTAGTTCAGGCATTTTATCGTAATTATGATTCAGACGAGATTCATCACAATACCGTCGAGGATCAACGTACGCAGTAGTACGGAGATAATTAAAATATTTTTCATTCGTTCTCATTTCTTATTTCTGCTTTAATCCTATTGCTATTTTATTCATCAAGCTTTCACAAAACATGGTTGCTCGTTAACCGATTAGAATTTTCTTCTTATGATTAATTCGAATATCTCTTTTCTTTATTATTATTAATAGGTCGAGCACAAAAAGATGCTAAACATGGTGCCGATGATACAGCAAAACATCTCATGGAAGCTATGTATATGAAAATGACACTAAGGGAAAGTACAAAATCACATCTATTTAAAACTATTAGGTAAATATACATATCATTGAGAAATATGATAAAATCATCGATGATTGTTCTCAGAGATGTTTTTAATGTGGATGAAAAATCTCATGTTGATCATATGAAAACTGTTAAACAAAATGTCCTTGATGGAACATCGAAATGGTCAGCCAAATTGATAATTACTGGTAATAGAAGTATTTTTTTGTCGCCTAGAAAATCCTTTTAGTTTTACTTTTTAGTTATAAGTGCTCAAGGTTTAATAGCAAAAGATAAAATTGGAACATCAGATCCATATGTCACTGTTCAAGTCGGTAAAGTGAAAAAACGAACGAAAACAGTTTATTCAGAATTAAATCCAACTTGGAATGAAAAATTCGTTTTGTACGTCCCATTATTTGGCAAACTAATCATTGACTTTACTTTTGTCTAGTGAATGCCATAATTCATGTGATCGAATGAAAGTTCGGGTTTGGTAGGGGAGAATTTGCTCTTGATCAAAAGAATTTTTTTCTTGAATAAGACATTTTTTGTTTGTTTTTAGGGATGAAGATGATGATATTCAAGCGAAATTAATGCAAAAATTAACTCATGAATCCGATGATTTTCTTGGTCAAACGATTATTGAAATTCGAACATTATCAGGCGAAATGGATGTTTGGTATAATTTAGAAAAACGAACGGATAAATCAACTGTTTCTGGTGCTATACGTCTTCATATATCCGTAGAAATTAAAGGAGAAGAAAAATTCGCTCCATATCATGTACAATACACTTGTTTACATGAGAATCTATTTTATACAATATGTGAAAATAATAATGGCCAACCGATTATTCCCGATGCTAAAGGAGTAAATTGACTGATTTTGAAATTTTTTTTATTATTAATGTCATTTGTCAAGGATAACGTTTGGAAAGTGTATTTTGATGAACCTTCACAAGAAATTGCCAATGAATTTGCAATACGTTATGGAATTGAATCGATTTATCAAACGATGACGTAAAAAAACCCAACATTTCTTTTTCTCTTGAAAGCAAAAACAAATCTGTTTGAATAGTCATTTGGCCTGTCTATCAACGAAATATATGTGTCCTGATGTACCTGCTGTAATGAGTACACTTTTAGCAAATATCAACGCTCAATATGCACGTACAATGGTAACAACAGCTACCAATCAATTTTTTGCTTCCAGTTTTGGAGTAAGTTTTGACATTATGGCTTTCATCAATTTATGAGTTTTCTTAATGTAAAAAATAGATTCGATCAACTTGTCTGATCTTTTTTTTTCTCTTGTAGAAAGATAAATTTATCAATTTACTTGATCAATTACACGATTCAATTCGTATTGATTTATCGATGTTTCGAGTATGAATTCAATATTGTCTCTTTCGTTTTCTTGTGTTTATAGAGAAATTTTAGAATAATTTTCCATCATCAAGTATCGATCGAATGCAAGATCTCAAATCTACAGTTGATCTTCTTACATCGATTACATTCTTTCGTATGAAGGTAAAATTCATTTTGATATTATTTCAATTTGTTTTGGAAGAGAAAAAAAATCGAAACGACATACGTTAAATTCTTGATAGTATCAAAGATTTCTTCCTTTTCGAATATTATTGAAGAATGCAGTAAGCTTCAGCATGATCGAATCTTTTCTCCTGGATTGAGATTGTTCAGTTGATTTCTTTCTAAATGTATTAATAATATTCTAGGTTCAAGGGTTAAGTTCTCCTCCACGTGCATCGACAGTGGTTAAAGATTGTGTGAAAAATTGTATAAGTTATACATATCATTTTCTCTTTGCTAATTGTGATGAAGTTTATAAACGTGAATCGAAACAACAAACGAATCCAACCGAAAATCATCATGAACTGAATGATGATGGATCGCAAAGATCATCAACAAACAAAACAGCAACTCATGCCGTTGGACCAAGTCTGAAAAGTTTACAATTTTGGGATAAATTAATATATTTATTAACATGTATCATTTCGGAAGATCGAGAACGATATAGTTTAGTCTTGAATCAGTGAGTTTTGGTTTTCGATAGGTCGTTGTTTTTATTCGATTTTTTATTTAGATTTCCATCAGAATTAAATGTTGGTCATATTAGTGCTGATACTTTATGGGAACTTTTATCAGCTGATCTGAAAGATGAACTTCAAGGTAAATTTCATTGGTTGAGGGTAGGCGTGCACCGAATCCGAACGTTCGGGTTAGGTTTTGAGTGCAGTCATTTTCAGTTAATCAATAAAAGGGAGTAGAAGTATACCAAAAGAAGGAATTTCATGGTTAGTATGGTAAGTCTAAAGACAACCAAATAAATGATTTAAAAACTGAAGGACTGCAGGCATCCTAAGGAACAGTTAACGATATTCGGAAATGCTCGGCACTATCTGAAATCCTTAGATAGTTCCCGAACCCGAATCTCAACCATGAGACCGAACTCGAACATCGAACTGGGTTCGGGTTTTGCTGCATACCTAGTTGACGGAGCTTTTTTCTGATTCTCGAGACTTTCATTAATAAAATCGTTGAATATATTATGAAACACAATTGTAATGAATGTTGAAGTATATAGCGAGAGAACGTCACAGACAGTGACAGACATTTGAATATGCTATTCCTTGAACCTTGTCTGAGATCGTTATCAATATACACAGGGACTTCATGTACAATTATAAAGCAGCTCCATCGTGTTTCACGTTTTAATCCCGAAGGGATTGAGCTGAAAGCTTTTTTATTTTCAGAACATGATCGAATTCCAGCTGAACGTCCTGATATGAAGAGTGATGCTTATATTAAGCTTTATTTTACGGTTAAAGGATTCTATGATACATCGGTGAAAATTATTCCTGAAGCAAAAAATTCTGTTCCAGAATATCCTAAGTAAGTTGATTTATTTCTTTTGATGATTTTTCTTCGATCTATCGGTACAGTTTTTATATACCGAAAGAATTGAAATGGTAAACAATTGAGTACGTTCTTACTAAGTCTAAGCATGTTGAAAAACGAATAAATATGGAGAATAAAATCAAAACGATTGTTTTTTTTATTCAGATGGTTTGAACCATTTGTCATTCAATGGTTAAATGAAAATGATGATATGTCCATGGAATATCTTCACAATGCATTTGCAAAAGATCGTCAAACAGGAGTCAGTCAATCAGAAATGAATCATATTTTCAAATAGAAAAGGTTTTGTTGAATTTTTCTAGTTTCAACCAACATCTGAGCATTATTTATTTTCTTCATCTGTTGTTGATATTTTTACTCCATTGAATGAATATCATCGAATTATTAAGACACTTGAGATTCATGATCCATTGGTCATTGTGAAATATATGCAACGTTTTTCTGTGACTATATCCCAAGTCTTACTTGGTTATGCCAATGCAATACGTCAAACATTTGAACATGTTGCAGGTCAAGATAATATTTGTTCGATTTTAATGAATAATATTCAACGATCACGTTTTAATCTCGACCAATTATATGAAGTAATGGGTGGAGCACAATTAGACGATGAAACCAAATCTAGATTGAATGAATTACAAAAGCAATTAAGTGATGTTCTCGATGAATTAAGTGCCGTGTTTGTCAAAAGTATTGAACCAACAATTCGACAAACAATCGAAGAAGTCTATAAACAATTACAACAAATTAAAGAAAATCAAATGAATCCAGGAAATAATAGTGGACAACAGAAAGGAGTCGAAGCCAGTCTGGTTATGAAATCATTATTGGATTATCTCTACCAACGGTAATGTATTCATCGAACAACATATGGAATTCTTATATCATTGAAACAATTATCTTCTGTTTAGATGGACATTTTTTGACAATCAATGTGAAAAGACCGTTCGAAAACGGTTGTTAAAAGAATTGTGGAAAGCCGTGATTAGTGGTTTAGAGAAAGTGATTGTTTTACCACCTATTTCTGACTCCAACCATCTATTAACGATTTCATCAGTGAAAATTGAAGATGCTTATCGATTTTTATCACGGGTTTGTCTTTTATTAATCGATTTCTTCTTATTTCGAATATATGTTTTTCAATTGAAATAGGAATTAGGTCGAGATAATGATCGAAATTTAACCCAAAACCAATGTCAAATCTTAGATCATGGTTTAGAAGATTTAAAAGAACTTTTTCAAGCATCAGGTCAAGGTTTAAAGAAAGATTACCTAGAAAAAACAACAGAATTACAATCATTAAAATATGCCCTTTCCTTGTACACACAAACAACGAATTCATTAATTAAAACATTTGTTAAAATAGAAAAAGATCAAGGTAAACATTTTTCGTTCATCTAACTTAATCAAATCGTTTTTCTTCCAGATCGACCAGCATTAGAAGAATCGTTTGGTGAAGTTTCAATTGAAGTCAATCTATTTACACATACGGGTAGTGGAGAACATAAAGTAACTGTCAAAGGTACCAAGAAAATAGTTTCAATGTCTTGTTCATACATTTTTCTTTTGAATTTAGTTGTAGCTGCAAATGGGTTGAAATGGCGAACCACCGGAATGTTTTGTCCCTATGTTGAATTAGCCATGTGTGGTCCTCATCTTAGTGATAAAAAACATAAATATACTACTAAAATGAAGAGTAATACATGGATACCAAAATATAATGAAACATTTCATTTGTTAGTCATCAGTTTGATATTTTGTTCATAGAAGAATCGTTTTCTTTTTTCTGTTTTATTTAGTCTATTGGGCAATGAAGAAGAACCGGATTGTTATGAATTAAATGTTGCGGTAAAAGATTATTCATTTATGCGTGAAGATCGTTTAATTGGTTTGAATGTTATTAAATTAACACAAGTATGTGCACAAGATTCATGGTCATCTTGGATTCCATTGGGTGCTCGAATTAATTTTGATGATGCTGGTTTAACTATTCTAAGAATCTTATCACATCGAACGAATGATGAATTAGCTCGAGAATTTGTGGTATTGAAATCCGCCAGACGACATAAGGAAGATGTGTGATGAACATTTGATGATCGATCTCGATTTTGTAAAACTATTCTCAATATATCTTTCTATGTATTTTTCATGTTTATGTCTAACAAAGGACGGGGGCGTATAAGGCTGGAATTTGGCCCCTTTTGATTTTGGTTACTAATACCATTGAATCATATACGAATCGATAGAAAAAAGTGCCCTGATCATTTTGATGCTAAATTCGATGTGTTTTTATAAGATTTTGATTTTCATTGGGGTCTTGCATTGACCACACCCTCAGTCATTAGTTGACCAAAAACACTGTATAATATTATGATGAACTTTTTGAACAAAGAAAATTAAAAATTGACATTAACTCAACGATTTTTTGATAGACCTTTCATCAGGCTACATTTTCCTTATAAACTCATTCATTTATAATACTATTTTAATTATTGCCAGGTGAAATAGAGATTCTACATTATCTACACAATAACAATATATTTCTCATTTTATATATGAAATACATTTATATACTTGACTTTTGCGAAATAGAAACGATGTCCAAATTTCTCTTATATACTATTCGATAGAGCTTGAAAAGCTCTACAAGGGTGTGTGGGTGGGTGTGGGTGTGCGTGTGGGTGTGGGTGTGCGTGTGGGTGTGGGTGTGGGTGTGCGTGTGCGCGTGGGTGTGGGTGTGGGTGTGGGTGTGGGTGTGCGTGTGGGTGTGGGTGTGCGTGTGGGTGTGGGTGTGGGTGTGCGTGTGGGTGTGGGTGTGCGTGTGGGTGTGGGTGGGTGTGGATGTGGATCCTCAGCACCCACATCCACACCCCACACCCTACACCCACATCCACACCCCACACCCCACACCCACGCTCACACCCACACCCACAGCCACACCCACACCCACCCACACCCACACCCACACCCACACCCACCCACACCCACACCCACCCACACCCACACCCACACCCACCCACACCCACACCCATGAAGTCAAGCAATTAAGCTATAATTTACTATTTCACATAGAATCTCTTGGTATTATTCTTCAACAATCATGAATTCGTTAGTTTTTTGGAAAAGATATTTCAGTTTAGTTGTAAGAACGAGGATATGCAAGGAAAAATCAGTGTACTGAAAAAATGTGAACAAGCAAATATTGAAGTGGAAGAATATCGAAAAAAATGGTGCCTTCAGTAAACGGTGATTCTAATCACATTTCGTTCATTGTTATTTTTCTTATAGTTCTACTCATCTAGAAGTTTAACCAGTCGTAATTATGATGAAAAATACTTGATAGAAATTAAATTAAAGACTTGAACGAAGAACTATTGTATATAAATAAAATTCTATTGTCATAAGTGAAACTTTTACATCTTCAATTGATGTAAATCTCGAGTTATTGTATTTATAAATTCAAATAAAGGTAAATCTTAACTAGTAATAGATAACTATGTTTTGAACATTGAATAAAACAAAAACTTTTTTTACATCCAAGCGAAAAATCTATTTTTTTTTTGTATCATATCAAAGTAATATGTCTTCTAATTTATTTATTGATATAGAACATTGAAGAAATTATCTTCCTTACGAAAAAAAAACGATTGTGATAGAATGAAAAATACGTTCATATGATGTTACAATACATGAGCAAAGCATTTCTTGTCTCTTGTTTTTACATTATTAAAATTTTCCAATCATGGAAGAAACTAAGATTTGTTTGTTTTTTGGTGATTTATTTAAAAAAAACAAAAATTTTCTACAAAGATAGATGGATTTATTGAACAATTAGATGAATTATAGTATTTCGTTGAAAATACAAAGAATATATCAAACTTCTGGAAACCTACATACATAGAAAACATAAAATAAATTTTCTTCCGATGATTACTGTCTTAAGATGTAGGTAATTTCGAATCACTCATCCATTAATTGGAAATTTATCAATTTTTCACTAAGGAATATTGTTATTCGTTCTCATTCATAATGAAAGTTATATAGTATTATTCATGTGGAATAATCTTATGAAATTTCAAAGAGTTCGCTTTGAGTAAATTCAAGAATACTGAATTATAAAATCGCTTCAAAAAAATTTTCGGATATCCATTATATACATTAAAACAATACAAACAACATCAATATATTGTTTGTTATTATGTAAAAATTTTGAAAAAAAATAACTAGTCTGCTAAATTATTTTAGATTAGTTTGTTTCTTGTGATATTCGAAGTATTTTTTTTTCATTACCAAAGCTAAATTTGAAAAACAAAGATATTTTTTTGCTATTATTAATTTCAATAAGTACGATAGTTTTTGATTAAATAAAAAAGTAGAGATGGATTGCGTGTTCGATTGGATGGGTGCTTTGGCGGGAATCGAACTCGCAACGTTTTTGTCTTCATCAAAACAATGTACCAGAGCTCCGCGGGACGTGTCCCGCCCAGTCCCGCGCTTTTTTCGTACGTCCACACACTATACTGT